GTAGGCCCGTCCTGGAGCCGCCCCGTCGGTGCGGGGGTGTCGGACCGGGCCTGAGGGGAGGTAGAGAGGAGAGACACCTGTGGTCCCGGTGCTGGCGGGAGCGAGTGAGACTCCTGTGCCCCGAGTGCTTCATCGGGAGCGTTCTGTCATCGCCACCCGGGCAGGCGGGAAGTGGCTGCTGAATAAACCCCCCACGGGAAGAACTCCTCGGTAAGTCCCGACCGGTTTAATTAGTATGAAAAATTCCCTTGTCGGAGCGGGAGAGCGTTTTCTGTCACCTCGGGAGGGTTGTCCAGCGCGTTTCTGTGAATGTGGTTACTGAGAACGTCGTTCCTGCCCCTCACGGTTTGGTAACGCCACTGGAGACTGTAATGATCTGATCTGTATTTGCTGCACAACACGGGCTGAGTCGCTTAACCTCTGGTGTGCCGAGGCCTCGGGGCCGTGCAGCAGCTGGGTGATCATAAAACCAATCTGCAGATGTGGTTTATTGGGGAGAAAACAGCTCTGGGCAGCTGAAATACTTGGGTTTGCTCAGTGAGGAGTAATTAAACGTGCTGAGCAATGAAAATTACCTTCAGGTGTGCTATGTTTGTTTCTGAGCTGTAGGACATCACATGGTGTCTCTTGGATTGCAGGATTGTCTTACAGAGACAGGGTTTACTTTTGGGAGTGTTTTATTTGATTTTTTTTGCTTTGTATTTGTTATTTTTTTTAAGGCCTTGCTTTGGATTTTTGGTGTGATGTAACTGTGGATTTATAGGGCTTAAAGGGCCTCCAGAGGCATCCGGCCCTGCCTTCCCCAGGTGAGATGGTGCAGCTCTTCATCATTCCAGACAGGGACATGCCAGGCCTTTGCCTCTGAGTCAGGGGAATTCACAACCCCCTGAGTTAATTAGTGAATTAATACACTGAGGTGTTTTCCCGTGACTGGACCTGTGAGGGAACTTGTTTTACACATATCGCCTCCAAATCTTTACTGCAGGTTGGGCAGTCAAATTAAATACAGGCCAAGGGAGCGAGCAGTGTTAACCATTGCTGTCCCAGTGCTGCCTGGTGGGGAGGTGAGGTTTGTGCAGCACTTAGAGATACGCAAAAGGTCCCATTCCCAGCTTCCATTCTCTTGCTGTGAGCTATCCCAGTACTTATGAATGCACTGAGTCTGGACAGATAGGACCAGCTGCTCTCACCAGTGCCCCTGTTGCTATTTTCAAACCCCTGTGGGCAGCTGTGAAACTGAAGAATCCTGTTTCCCAATGCTACCTGGTGTTGCCATGGACTGGGGGGGAGGAGAAGGAGGCAGAAGGAAGGACTCATGCTTTAGTCCAGCTGCCCGTCCAGTCCTGGTTTGAGGTAGAGGGAAATGCTCCTCAGGCTGTAAAGGGGAGACATTTTTCAGTTAGGAGACAGCTGCTGTCCTGAGCCTGATGTGAAAGCTGTGGTCCAGAAGGCTTGGATACCAGGATCCTTGTTCTTCTGTCCCTGGAGGTATGTGGGATCAGCTTTCACCAGGGCTCTGCTATTCACAGGCTGCTGGTGATTCCTTATTCTCTGATACTTCACACCTGGCTGAAAGGGACTCAGGTGTTGGTCCTGCTTGTTCCTTTAGAATTAAATCAGTCCACCTGGAAGAGGCTTTTTTTTTTTCTTAGAGTCTGTTAAAGAGCATTTAGTGTTAGGAGAGGATGGAAAAATCTCACTAAAATAATTTGTACATTGCTACAGAACATTGCTGCAGTCAGCTGGGAAACCCTTCAGGGATCCCTGCTGTCTTTTCAGGGAACACTTCACTGTTTTCAAAGATAACTTTACACTTTGTTGTGATGTAGCATCATAAGTAATTTATACAATATTCCATGGTGACAGAGCATTGTACTTCCATGGAAGGTTATGTGCCACTGCAGTGTGACTAAAGCAGGAGAGCAGACTGGGAAAGAAGGGAGGATAACAGAGATGAGGTAAGGAATAGCAGAAGGCCCTCAGTTAAATGGAGAGTCAGAGGGAAGCATGGAGCAAGAGCTGCCATTCACCCAGCAAACAGCTGTGGGGGTGAAGATGCTGTTGCCCTGAAGTGTTTACCCTACTTCTGCTGGAAATGGCTCCTTCTCAGGCAGAGGTGAGTCCCAGCTGTCCTGTTGTGGCCTGAGCCTTTGGGCACAGTCCTGTGTTAGTGCCTGCTCTGCATTAATTCCGTTGATGTGTGTGATGGGTTCTGTAGTGCTCTGCAAGCAGCTTGGCTGGCAGAATGCTGAAACCAGCAGCTTCCTTCTTGTGGGCAGGGCTGGATAGGGCAGTTGTCTGCACCCTGCTGGGGCAGGTTAGTGGAAAAAAAAAAAAAAACCAGTAGGGAGAGAGAACTGGGATAAACGTGAAATGAAAGCAACAAAGCCTCTTGCAGGCTTTCAGTCTCCCATTTGCTGCTGGAGCATTGGATAATAATGTAAAGGAATAAAAGCATCTAAATTTTTCATCTGTCAAGACTTTGCTGTCTTGACATGGGTAGAGAGAAGTTTGATGTGAGCAGTTTAAGAAAGCTGTGGAGATACAGTTCATTTGGGAGATGGAAGAAACAGCGGAGCAGCTTTTGTAGGATCTGATTATTGATCTGTACCCATTATACTTGGGCTGATGTCTGATGTTATAATATGCTAATGTGAAGTAATGGAGTGTTATTTGCAAAGGAAAGAGTTGGCACTCAAGATACTATCTCTGACTTCAGCTGGCAAAAACAGAATGCTCAGAATGACTGATTTAGGGGAAAGAGGAAACATGAAACTCCAGCATCTTTTCTGCTCAGTGTATCGATCAAAACCCTCATAGAGGCATTTGCTGTAAAATACAAGAAGAAACTCTTGGTTAAGGCTTTTTTTCCCGTTTGAAGTCAGGTGTTCTTTACCCTTGGAAACATAATTCTCTGGAATTTGGCAGTGGGTTGGGAAGTAAGAGCAGTGCCAGTTAGTCCCGTGGATTTGCATCTCGTGCTGTGTTTCAACATCAGAGTGTATCTGCAGAGGCAACAGTTTCGTAAGTCCAGTTTACAACCTTTGTCCACTCCAGGCTATTCCTTCTGCTTCTGGAGCATGGAATTGTACTTTCCACTACTTGAGTATTGAGAAGATTCTGGGCAGTCTCAAAGGTGAGAGATGGAAATGGTTCTCTCCAGCAGCTGCTTCACTCTGCTTTGAGTGGTATTTGAGAAGACACTATTGAACTGTCCTGGCATTCATGGAACTTAATATTTTGTTTTCTAAATATTAGCCACTGTCTTGAGCTTGGACCTACATTTATTTGAAGGTTTGAGGGTGCTGGTTTAACGGGACTCGTTTTAACTACTGGAGACTTTATCTTTTTATTACTTACTGTCTGTATGTGCTCTTTGAGGCAGCTGAGAAACCCCAGTGAGGAGGAGACCAGCAGCAAGGTTTGAAGATATTGTTTGTTCTCTTAGCCCTGATGATACTGAGAACATGCTCTTTTGACATGTGCATAGCTCAGTTTGCAGCTGAACAAGGTTCACCAGAAACGCTGTTAAGTGGTGCAGTGGAAATGATATGTTTGAAGTTCCTGATCTGCTTCCATAACTGAGGTGAAGCAGCGCCTTGGAAGGTCCTGGGACAGCAGTAGGGATGTCTTTGGGGTGATAATGACCAGTATCAGTGTTTGCCAGCAAGAGTTGTCTGAGCTGACAGTTGAACTGTCCTGCCGCTCCTTACGTGGGGTGCGGGCTGTTCTGAACCGTGCTGTGTCCTGTAGAGCCTGTCAGAGTAACAATCAACGGGATGCTGGGTTTTTAAAAGCTGTCTTTGCACAGGCAATTTTTTCCTGCAGTGTTTAATTGTGCAGCTTCATTGATCAGATGAGCAGTGGGAGTGCTCAGGATGCGAGTGCACCGTGTGCTCGGGGTGGTTTTGTCACTTCTGCTTTATGTTGAGAGCAACCGAATTAAGATGCTAAGGAAAAAAAGGGTAAATTCATCTCCCTGGAGAACTCGTGTTCTCAGACTGAGATCTGACCAGCAGCTGCCTGGTGAGGGATGATGGTTGGGAAGGGTGAGGTTGACTGGTTGTGGTGTCTCTGTGGAGCTCAGGAGGTCTTGCAAATGCTGCAGTGATTCAGTGCTGGTTAAATGCTTGTTGATAGTTCTGCTGCTTTCTGACCTAAAACTGCTGAAGTGTTTTGCATAATTTAAAAAGGAGGGATTGCTCAGTCATGTTATTAGTGCTGAGAGATAATCCCTGCGTTTAGAAACAAAGGTGTGAATGAGCTTCTGAATATTGTAAACTTTGCAACCACTAGCAGAATTTCCAGGGTGTTGAGGAATGGCAATCAGAAGGTTTTTCAAGGCTTTGGAATACACAGATTGTGACTCCATTGTAAAGTCAATTAATTGAGTAAATTGCAGGTGCCTAAAAAGGCAATTAAGCGCCTTCTGTAGGAAGGTTAGAAAAATAAATAGTCAGAAGAAAAAAAGAATAAAGTCACCATACCAAACCTAAATTTTACTCTGAAGCACATCTTTAAAGCAAGGTAGCTAAACTAAAACACTAAATCCTGAAGCTGAGTTATAATTAAAGGTATTCTGGCAGCAACAGCTGAGTTCACTGAGCTTCATTTCTTCTATGAAATCCAATTCTCTAGTGTTCCCTTGCAAGGCTTGCTGCAGACTTACTTTTTAATAAATATTTATACACCAGTAGGCAGTGACTTTGAAGTGCTTTTTTCTAAGCTACTGCAGTCACAGTAAGCAATGCTTTAAACAGTCTGGTTGGTTCTGTGCAGTAGAATGAAACAATGATTTTTGCCCAGGAGATTGGGGAGAAGGTGGTGCTCTGTGGAGACTTAGTGACAAAGAAGCCAAGAAATGCTCAAAAGTTTGAACTGAGCCAGAGATTGAATAAGGCATTTGTTCACTGTGTTACTTGGGTGGAAATAGCATGCGAATGGGGGCAGGGAAGGGAATAGATATGCAATCCTTCTCCAGTAAAAAAGCCAATTCTGTGCATTTTTAAATGGTCAGCCTGTCAGCAGTGCCTCAGGGGCTTCTAAAGGAAGCAAGGAAAATGTCTGTTCAGACACGTTACAGCAAGTGCTGTGGGGAGAGATGTGTTTCTGTGGCACAGTGACAGGGATGTTCACGTCAGCAAAGGTTTGTCTCCATTCAGGAGGTGTTGATGTGGCTTCCTGTAACAACAGACACAATTATTTGATCTCTCGTGAAGAAATTCCAATTGATACAGAGTTAAAATTGCCCAGTGGCTTTGAAGTTTGCCAGGTATTTGGACTGTGTTTTCTGTTTCGGGGCCTGTCTGTGTTGGACTGGGTTTGGATTTTTTACTGCAGATTCCCCTGTGATGCTGGAAACACTGCCTTCGCTGGTGCTTGGCTCATTTTGATTTTAGTCTCTGTTTATACTGGCAGTGAGTGAAGTCATGGTTATCTTGGGTTTTCAGAAATGCTTTGTCTGTATTTTGAGTTTGAGGTGGTTTGAGGGCATTGGCCCAGCACATCCTTCCAGAGAGGAACCTGTGGGCATTATTGCGTTAAACTCTTGGCTGTGCTGAGTGCAGTTGTAGTAACATACCTTGGGCACACTGGGAATTGGCTGATGCTGGAAGAAGGCAAAGGCCTGTTTAAGGCCTCCTGTGTGTTTGTGGATTTGGGTTGGCTCAGGTTGCTCTGCTCTTGAACTCAGAGCAGAGCACTTAAAAAATGAGCATTGTGGTAATGTGTTGTGGTAACTCCTGGCTCTGCTCATGTATTGCAAAGAACAGTAAAAATACGACACTTCCCTGGCACTCAACTGCTTTTACTCTCCTTCTTTAGGACTTGACTGGCATAGAGTCCATGGACCAATGTCGCCACACGCTGGAGCAGCACAACTGGAACATAGAGGTACCACTGAAAATAAGATTTGTAGCAGTTTCCAAGTACCTGGGTTAAATGGAGCCCTCTGTGGGGAGGGGGAGCCCTACCAGTAAGAGGAGTCTGTCCACCCCTGAGTTTACTCAAGTAGCTCTTTAGAGCAGCATCTCCACTTGTCTGGAGAGGTTTCAGCCAAACACTGGCTGCCGTGGAGAAGACTTTCCATATGGAAAAGAGCACTGGTGGTTGCTGTTTGTCATGAATTGTGCTTATCCGGTGCTCCGGGGCTCTGGACAAGGAATACCCATGCTAGTGTCCAAAGTATGGAAAAGATAAAATGTCTGAAACCTCCCTTTGCTCTTTCTCCTGTCAAAGGCAGCTGTGCAAGACCGACTGAATGAGCAAGAGGGTGTCCCAAGTGTCTTTAATCCTCCTCCATCGCGGCCGTTGCAGGTCAATACAGCCGACCACAGGATCTACAGCTACGTTGTCTCAAGGCCACAGCCAAGGGCAAGTTATCTTACAGTGGATTTTGTCCTGCTTCTTGGGTGACTCTTCATGAACAGCAGAACTTGCAAGCAGGGAAAGGAGTTGTTTTCTTTGCATGCTGTTACCTCCTTTCTAAATGTTTTATCTTCTGAAAACAAAATATAGAGCCTCTGTTGCTGCTGCAGAGACTTTCTCTGTGGCAGTTCACACTTGAGTGTGAGGACCTTTTTTTGTGTCATAGACAGTTTGCTGTGGTGTAGTAAAGCCTTTTGATCAGTTCAATTGCAACAAAGGACTGTCCCCTCCATCTGGCAGTGATAATGTTTTTCTAATTAGAGCTCCCCTTAAATGTGTAGTAATTAGAATACAGCACCAATTACTTGCATTAATGTTTCACAAATGAATTTGCATGAGCACCTGTAAGACTCAGTGCTGTTAATCTTTTTGAATAGTTAAGAAGATCAGCACAGAGCAAAAGCATTAGTCAGTGAGGCCAGTTTTCAGATGTGTCACATTGAATTCTGAGTGAACCACGTTAGTCACATTTGATTTGACATGTCTGAAGCCATGAACTGTTGCTGAGCTGTTTTTTATCATGGTTGGAACACCGATACCTCACATGATGCTTGGTGCTGGTGGGCACTTTGCTGTAGCAGGGCTGTTCCAGGTGTGGAGACTGTTCTAATTCTTTATTTGTCATTGCAGGGCCTGTTAGGATGGGGTTACTACTTCATAATGCTTCCATTCCGATTTACCTATTACACATTACTTGATATATTTAGGTAAGTACTTGCTTGTGCTAACTCACATTGACTGCATGAAGGCACATGGTAGCTCAGATCCAGCTGTACCTCTGTCACTGGGATCTTTAAGTCTCATGGCAGATTTTCCATTTGATTGCTCAACTGGCATTATCTCTAGCCTTCTAAAGTTTCTACGTGGTTTAGTAACAAATAAATCTTATGGCAGAGAAAAAGAGCACCTTGCAGCTCTGTAGATGAAGTATTTAATTGGAATTCTAACTCCATGCAGCTTTACAGTCTGAGTGCCACACAAAGGGATTGCAAAACAGTGTCCAGCTGGCTGATTTTCTTGTACAAACACCAGACTCGTGTCCCGTTGGGCTGGGCTGCAGGTTAACCTGCCCTAATCCATGGGTGTTATTTGGCAAAACCTAAACTGTAAACGCCTCTGCCTTTTCCCCTTCAGTGTCTGTCTCCTCTTCTCCACTTACCACCCCACAGGGCTAATTCATCTCACCTCCTTACACTGATAAAGGGAAAAGGGAATCATAAAGGTGGTAAATAGCCAGCAGTCCTGCTGTCTGCACTGCTTTGGCAGTTTCCCCTGTTGTATTAACTTTCTTTTCCTGTTACACTGAACTTTGGAAAGGTCTTTATCTTCTGTGCATCAGTAGAACTGAACAACACCGATATCTGCCTTTCAGTGAAGTTTGTTTCAGCCTCAGAGGAATGACAGTTTCATTGTACTGGTAGTGTAATGTTCTCTTTCTGCAGCTCTTTGCACCCCAGAATTGTTAGTTCTGCATTAGCAGAAATGCAGTTTTCAAAGTTATCTGGACAAAACCATGTGGCTTTTAAGAGCCCATCTTTGACTAAATTCCTTGAACCGCCTACTGTTGGTGTGGCTTATGTCTGATGCTTCAGAGGAAGTTGAAATTGTTTAATCACATAGAATTTCGATCCTTGCTGATGCCTGGCATGAGATATGTGACTTGGGGGGTGTTTCTGTAGCAGTGGTATCAGTTTGGAGCAGGTGACAGTTTAGATTGAGATTACAAAAGTTCAGGCATCTCAGCTGTGACTTTTTTCCTCTTTATGAATCGCAGTGACTGTCTGTGGAAAAGAAAACCTGTTCTTCAGAAAGTCAGTGAGTTGAATTTGCAGTGTCCTTTGCTTCCTTCCTAGGTTTGCTCTGCGTTTTATACGCCCTGATCCTCGTAGTCGGGTCACTGACCCAGTGGGTGACATTATTTCGTTTATTCATATGTTTGAGGAAAAATATGGGAGGATACACCCTGTCTTCTACCAGGGAACTTACAGCCAGGTCAGTGTCACGTGTTGGTGCATAGATCCTGGGGAGGTGGAAGAATGGGGATTTTGCCAGATGGTATCAGGGCCTTCATGGCAAAATTGCTTTTCATCTAAAGCCCAGCATTTGTCCCCAAACTCTCTTAATAGGGTAATGGAGAGATAGTGAACAAGTGTCTTGGAAAACCAGTGTCTGCCAGGCTTGATGATTTGCCAAGCCTGCCAAGTTGGAAAGCAAAACTGCTCTGGCTGTTCCTCGACCGTCTGTGTGACTCTGTAGCCGACGGCTTTTCTTTGTAATCCTGCCTTTGTTTTTATAAACTGGTGTGCTGTGCCAGAGTCTGTCCTTCTGTTCACCAAATTGGGATTGACTGCCTGGGCTTGTATCATAATGCAGCTTCAGAACAATGCAGGGCCTCAAAATTGAGAGGGAGCCCTCAAGAAATTCTGGGAGATGAGTGTTCCATATATCAAATCTGGGGGTGCTCCCTGTAGAAGAGGGATGTCTCCATGGACACTGCCTCTTCCACGGCTTCTCTCAGCCTGGCCAAGGGAAGGGCCTTCTGCAGTGCATCCCAGCAGACAGTTGGATCAGCACTGCTTCCCAAGTGCCAGGGAAGAATGTGGAGTTTGTGTCTGCTCCGTGCTGCACAGAGGGGGAGCTCATCGCCTCTGCAGCTCTTCCAAGCTCCTCCATCTTACCTGGAATCCAAACTTAAATAACCCTGGAATGATTAGGCTACTGAAACTCAGTACCAGTAAAACAGGGAGCTTACTGTACACTTATCCTGTGGTCTTGTTGAGAAATGCTCTCGGGTGGGTGGAATCCAGAGACTGTAGATGCAAAAAGGGACGTATTTCTCCGTAGGGTTTTTGGGGGGGCCTGTAGCATTGTTGCATTACCTTTTTAGTAGAGTTTTCATTTGGTGTGATATGAAACTTGTGTCCTGTACAGGCTCAAGTGGAAAGCTCAGCCTTGGCTGCTGTGAGTCTGAGCGGTGAAGGAGGGTTCTTCACTGCCAGCTGAGTCTGGCAAGGCAGCTGGGGTGTCCATCCCTTTGGTTGCCTACCTGGTTTCACTCTGAGTTCAGTGTTCTCCAAAGCCACATCCTGAGAGGATGTGAAAAAGCACCACTGTAGCCCTTTCAAACAAGAGTTTATTCAGAACATCTGACAGGTTCACCCTCCACTGCTGCTTTGTTAAAACCACACTAGTGGCAGTGTAATGGCTTGGGTCACACAAGCCTTGTGGGTGCTGCTTTCCCCTTGCCCAGAGACCCTGTAACCTCACTTCCTGTCCTCTTATGCCAAGGCACTGAACGATGCCAAGCGGGAGCTGCGCTTCCTGTTGGTTTATCTTCATGGAGATGACCACCAAGACACAGATGAGTTTTGCCGGTAGGTAGGAGAGTTTTCCAAATAGTTGTCTTTGTACTTTAAGTGCAGCTTCACTCACACAGTCTCTTCTCATCCCCCAGCAATACACTGTGTGCACCTGAGGTCATCACCCTTATCAACACTAGAATGCTCTTCTGGGCTTGCTCAACCAATAAACCAGAGGGATACAGAGGTAAGTGTGTCCCTCGTGGGCTTTACATGTTTCCTCTTGTCTCTGGAACAAGCCGAGTGCCCTTTGACAAATTTACATGTGTGAAACACACTGTTGGATTCTGTGCAAGGAGGCAAGAGATTTTGGGATTGCATGGGGAAATACATATTGGTTTCTGTGGGATATCTCAGAGGGCCTGTTTGGCCACCAGGGCCACCAACTACATTGTGATCTTCACCTCTGTTCCATGTGTTTCTGGCAGTCTTAGTTGTGTGCTCCTTGCTGTGGGCATTCAAGCCACTTTCAGTGCCTTGTCAATGGGAGTTGATGGGTGTGTGCTGGGGATAAACTGAGTGCAGAAACAAATATCCAACTAGCTGTGTCCTTAGCACTGGCTCCTGTGATGCCTGAGGCCAGGACAAACTTGTTAGGTATATTCTTTTCCTTTCTGAGACAGTCATCTTCATGTCCAGTCTCTGTGTCTCCTCCAAAGTCCACAGTGAGGTCCTTTCAGTCTTTCTAGAGCTGTTGGTGCCTAACAGCATTTTGGTAAGGTTTTGCTGTAATTGGAGTCTTTTCCCAAAGTTCTCTTCTTGCCTCCTGTTTCCCTTCCACCCTTCCTGTTTCATGGCAGGGGGTCCAGGAGTTCTGGTCTAAATCTGGGTCACTCTTGGCTCCACAGTTCAGCTCCCAGCTACTGGCACCTGGAGAGAATGGCTCTGTGTGGAGACAAGTCTTTGACTTGCTGCTGTTGCGTTGCTGCAGTGCTTTGGAGTCACGAGCTGGAAGGGATTGTGGGGTGCCCTGATTTCCTTTGGAGGGCTCCATTGGTAATGATGGCTCAGGTTACATGTGCTTTAAGGAAGGGATCAGCAGCCACACATGAGCAATAACTTAAAGCCCTCAATCTACTCCATTCCCTTTTTCAGACAGAACCTGGCTCCAACAAAACCAACCTAAGTTTGTTCAGAAGTGTCCAGAATGTTCATTGCCATCTTCCAAAGTCCAGCCATCCCTAATCATCTTAGCAAGTGTTTCCCTGTGTCTGACCTGTGTTCCTCGTCCTGCCATTTAAATCCAAGGCTTTGTCCCATTCTGAATGAACATTCAGAGCCATTTACTTCCTTCCTGCTTGAGTAAAAGTGCCTTTTTGGTTACTTGAAAGCCTGTTTTTTCCCCTCAGTCCCTGTGTTCCAAGGCACTTCCTCCCTTTGCTAACTGATAGGGTTTAGTTTGACAAAACAGAGCCTGAGGCCTTTTCTGCCTTGGAGGAGAGAGTGTCTGTGGAAGCTGCTTTCCTTGGCCCGTGGTGATGGGAAGAGTTTGTGCTGTACCCCTTGCTGACCCTTCTGGAGAGGGCAGTGATGTTTGTGGCTGTTCCCAGTGTCCCAGGCCCTGCGGGAGAACACGTACCCATTCCTGGCCGTGATCATGCTGAAGGATCGCAGGATGACTGTGGTTGGGCGGCTGGAAGGTCTCATCCAGGCTGATGACCTCATCAACCAGCTGATGTTCATCATGGATGCCAACCAGACGTACCTGGTGTCTGAACGCCTGGAAAGGTAGGATGGGACCTGAGCTCTAATCATGCAGACCTTGTCGAGGCAGACTCTACCCTGTCCCCTTCCTCCTGCCAGACACCATATGTAGGCACATTGATCAGCGTCTCCTGATCTGTAACACAGCCCCTGGCTTTCCTCTTCCCAGTGGGATCATCAGTCCATAAATTCAGGCCATCCTATAGCCAGGGAGATGGATGTGTTGTGTACACAGTCCTACCACTGAAAGGTGGGTGTGAGTGCTCTGTTCTCTGCAATTGGGGCACACCTTTGCTGTGCTGGAGCTTTGCAGGGAGAGCTTGGACAGTAGCCAGTAGGATCCAAATGGGAGCAAAGGCATTGCAGGCAGGAGAGCTGGTGTCTGCAGCTGGTTGGTGAGTGTGTGCTGCTGCCTGGACTGTCTGTAATGAGCTCAGGCTACTTTTCTAGGGGCCTCACAAGCCCCTCATGACTCTTAGGGATGTGCAGACTGCATCCAAAGTAGGATCCCACCTTCCATCTGCTCCTCCTCTGTCCCACGGTCTCCGTGGGAACCTGGTAACACGTTCTGGTTCCTGAAATGTGCAAGGAATTACCTGAAGGAGATAAAACTCGGGAGAGTCTCAAGTATGAGGCAGAAATCCTGGGCACTGCTTTTGTACTGTCTGTCAGCTCTGTTGAGCCACGGTGGCTGAGAAGCATTTTGAGTTCAGTTCCACCCACCCTGGGGAAGCAGTTTGTGTGTGAAGGGACCATGAGGGCCCAACTCTGCCTTTTGGGAGCTCATGGTACTCCAAGTCATTACTTGCTGTGTGCTCCTACGAGTTTGAGGCTGTCCCTGCACCCTCGAATCTACCCTCAGCCAACCAAACCCTCACTTTAGGGCCCATTAGCCCTGACCCCTTCCCACTCACGTTTGCAGGGAAGAGAGGAACCAAACCCAAGTCCTGAGGCAGCAGCAGGACGAGGCATATCTGGCATCTTTACGTGCGGACCAGGAAAAGGAGCGCAAGAAGAAGGAGGAACGGGAGAGGAAGAAGAAGAAAGAGGAGGAAGTGCAGCAGCAAAAACTAGCAGAGGAGAGGCGGCGACAGGTGAGAGCAGAGGGGCTGCTGGAGAGGCTGCCGTGCCCTGTGGGAGGAATTGCTTGTCACATCGGAGCTGCTGGCCTTGTGTGGGGCTTGAATGTCCCTTGAGCCTCTTGGAGCAGCTCTGCTGCAGGGGATGGGCATAAAGGTCAGTTCAGTGCACGGCCATTGCTCCTGCTCCCTCCTTGCTTTGCAGACACTGCAGGAGGAGAAGGAGCGGAAGTCGGAATGCCTTCCTCCCGAGCCGCATCCCGATGACCCGGAGAGCGTCAAGATCATTTTCAAGCTGCCTAACGATTCCAGAGTGGAGCGGCGATTCCACTTCACACAGTCACTGACGGTGAGCCTGGGGCAGAGCTGATGGGCATTCCAGAGGGAGGGGGTCTAGAGACTTCCATGTGGCTCAACAAAGCTTTGGTTCCCTTGCACTGTGACAAATGGTGACCTTTGCTGAGAGCCTTAGCAGGCTCAGCTGCTCCTGGGTAAGGAGGAGCGTCATGGGGCCTAGTCCCACCAGCCTGGGAGAGATGAAAAAATGGAAGAAATTTTTTTCCTTCTCCCTAAAAGCTGAGACTTCTAGTGGAAGGTGTCCCTGTTTATGGTGGTGAGGTAGGACTAGATGATCTTGAAGGTCCCTTCCAACACATAACATTCTATTATTCCATTGCTCCTTATTAAATAATGGTGTAGGAAAAGTCAGAAACAGTATCTGCACTCCAGTTTCAAATGTGCCAAGGAAATGGCTGTCTCACGTCTACAATGCAGCGATGGTGCAAATTTGGTAACATTCCCCTGCGAGATGCCAGGGATTCCGTGTGGCTGTGTCACTGCTCCACTAGCTGGCAATTATTTCTGTGCTTCTTTCCCAGGTGATCCACGACTTCCTGTTCTCCTTGAAAGAAAGCCCTGAGAAGTTCCAGATTGAGGCCAACTTCCCTCGCCGTGTCCTGCCCTGCCTCCCTACAGAGGAGTGGCCCAACCCCCCCACGCTGCAGGAGGCCGGACTCAGCCACACGGAAGTCCTCTTTGTGCAGGACCTTACGGACGATTGACACTTCTTTTGGTTTTGTTTTTGATTTTTTTGGGTTTTGTTTTGTTTCGTTTTGTTTTTTGGGGGGTTTTGTTTTTGGGGTTTTTTTTTTTTCCAGAAGACACAAAATGGAAAGAGAAATTCATATTATTATTATAATACAATATTTTTTTTAAAAGACTGCGTACAAACGAGGGATCAGAGACCACATGGCCCGTGCCAGCTGTGCTGCGTGTGTGCGCTGGCGAGAGGACGCGTGCGCACGGCCATCCCCTGCACCGGGGGGGCAGAGAGGGGGAAGCTGGTGTTGCCCCTCCACCTTCCCTGGGGAGGAACAGGAATGGCAGCTCTTGGTAATTACTGCTTTTATTGATGACAATAATAATAAAACCCCGACAACCTGACATCGCGTGAAGATTTGATACTCTGCTGCTCCTGAGAGGCACACGACCGAGCACCGGAATGTGCTGGGAGTGGGGTGGGGGGAAAGGGCTGGACAGAATCTCTTCAGCTTCCCTCTCTGTATAAATACTGTTCTTTAATATTTCTCTTGCTTTGTAATGACCAAAGGAGAATGGGGTTGACTATAGTATTAACTTTTTGATAAAGAGCTGGTTCGATTCTTACCCGTGTGGGGTCTTGCCCAGGGTTCTTAGCCTGCGTAGTGTAATAAACTCTGCCTCTAGCACGTCTGTGCCCATGCTTTCTGCCTGTGCCCTGGGGAGGGGGGTGAGCTGCTCTGGGCATTGTGGCTCATGGAACTGTGGCTGCACTCAGCTTCTGGCCTTGAAGTGGTGGTTTTGTGCCAGCGGGAGGTGCTGTGTGAGACAAGTGTGCCCAGTGTGGGGCATGGCAGGGCTGAGGTGCTCCTCTCCTGCCTCCTGGGGCATCGGCTCAGGGCTGAGGCTGGGAGGGAGGGAGAGAGCTGGCCCTGAGTTTTAAGGCCTGGGTCTACTCTCCAGGAGCAAGTGGGAGGGGGTGAAAGATCTGAGGGTGGGTGTAAGGCTTTGTTCCCTGCCAGAGGCTTGGTCATGGCTGTGGAGCAGTGCCATCACCTCCTGCCCGTAGGGGGAGTGGTAGGAATTTGTTCCTTCCCTACCCACCTGTTCTGAACAGGTAGCCAAGCTCACTTAGAATCACAGAATGGTTTGAGTTGGATCTCAAAGATCATCCCGTTCCAACCCTCTGCCCTGGGCAGGGACACCTTCCAGTAGACCAGGTTGTTCCAAGCCCTGTCCAACTTGGCCTTGAACACTTTGAGGGATGGGGCAGCCACAACTCTCACCCTCACAGGGAAGAATTTTTTCCTTCTATCTAAACCTACTCTTTCTCGGTTTGACCCCATTCTGCATTGTCCTATCACTACCGCTCCTGATGAAGAGTCACTCTCTGGTTTCCTTGTAGCTCCTTCAGATAATGGAAGGGGCTGTGAGTTCTCCACCCAACCTTCTCCAGGCTGAACCACCCCAACTTTCTCAGGCTGTCTCCGCAGGGGAGGTGCTTGTCCCCTTATCTACTCCATGCTCCCGAGGGTTCTGTGTCCTTATGTAGACGACCCCAGAGCTGGATGCAGCACTCCAGGTCAGGTCTCACCAGAGTGGAGCAGAATCCTCTCCCTTGCCCTGCTGCCCACACTGCTCTGGATGCAGCCCAGGACACAGTTGGCTTTCTGGGCTGCCAGCACACACTGCTGTTCCCATTCCAGCCTTGGGAATGGCATGGTTTGGTGGGTAGCAGCTCTTGCTCCCTCCCTCAGGCTTCCCTGGACTCCCCTCCAAGCCCCTCTCTGGGGCTCTTCCAGCTGCTGCACCTCCACACAGCTGTGCAACAACAACCAGGGGACCCCATCCCTTCTGAAGCCCCCCCAGAGACAAGAGCTGGGCACAGCATGTTGGTATACATCATACATTTATTAGTGAATATCCCTCTCAAAATCAGCCACAACATTAAAAAAAATAATGATTGCACTACTTGGTCAAGCAGAACTAGCAACTTTCATTTTAAAAAAAGTACAAATCTGTTAAAAATTTCAATCAGTATAATACACATATATATAATACAACATACTAGTTATGTTAAATGCTACAAAACCAATATGATTCCAATGGAATGGAAAAAAACAAACACTTTTAGAGCTTTAAGAACCTTTTTTTTCTATATATTAGCCTTTTTTCAAATACATACATGGGAAAAATGAGGTAACTGTAAAATGTGCAAGTAACAGAGCAAAAAAAATTATATATATATATTTAT